CCCCCCCCCCCCACACACACACACACACACACCATCCTAGGTGTATGACTTTCTTCTTTCAGTCGAATACAGTCAATTAGATTTTAAAATGTCCTGGCTCTTACTAGCTTTATAATGGCAGTGAATGGGGGTTAAGATTTTGCAGCCCAAAAAAGTGCATTCATCCATAAAAAGTACACATGGCTCCGGGGTTTAATAAAGGCCTTTTGAAGCAAAGTGATGCATTTATGTAAGAAATATCCATTATTTAAAACTTTTATAAACCATAATCTCTAGCTTTTGCAACTTTCGTTCGTGTGTTTACTCCAGCCGGATGACATAGGATGTAGCATAAGCTCCGGTGAGAATGTGCTAGTCTCGTGACGTGAGAACCAAGTTTTATTTACAGCAAAGGAAGACCAGTCTCCTCTTGGCTTCTCAAAATCCGACATTTTTCTCTACAAATCCTTGTTTTGTATTTCTAATTCATTATTGGTTTTGTTTTGCTCTCTCCTCTGTGCTTCTGCGTTCGTCACTTCTCACCTGAGCTTACGCTACACCTACGTCCTACACCAACGTGCTACGTCATCCACTGGAATGTCACTCATACGACAGTTAAGGGAAGCTAACCACCATTGCCATTTATAAATCTTGGAAGAGCCAGGACATTTTTTTAATAACTTTAAGTTTGCATTCGTCTGAAAGAAAGCCATATACTCCAAGGAGGGCTTGAGGTGAGTAAATGTAATTTTCATTTTTGGGTGAATTAATTCATTTAAAGTGTACTGCTGATAAAAAAATACTTTAATGTCATTTCTGTTGAGTCTTGTTTGTTGTTTTTGAATATAGTTATAAGTTGCATTTTAGTGCTTTTTAAAATGTATTAACCTGTTGTAATAGCACACTACAGTTAAAACTCAAGTACTTTGTTTGTTAGTCCAAAACATCAGAACATAATGATTTAAAACGTACTTTGATGTAAAGTGTAATTTTACATTAAATCAAGGTTTACGTTTTAAAAGCTTACTTAAATGTGATATGAAATGTCAATTCTCACTATTAACTGTCTTTTTCCTCAAACTCCTAATTTGCTTTTTATTAATAGTTAGTGAGGTAGTTGGTAAGTTTAGGGTATGGGGATAAAGGGATCTGGTCATGCAGAATAAGGCATTAATATGTGCTTTATAAGTACTAATTAACAGCCAACATGCTAGTAATATACATGCTAATAAACAACTAGAGAACTGGTCCCTAAACTAAAGTGTTACCATAAATTAGTCAAGTATATACATCTCATTAATATATACACTTCTTTTTCACAATGGCAGTTTATGGTGGTCCAGACCAGCAACAAACCAGCACCTTTTTTTTTTTTTTTTTTTCTGGAAAGTGATTCTACAGCTGTGAGAGATGTAGTCACTTTTTGAGTTTAAAATTGGGGAAAATGACACATCGTAAATGCACTTACATTTGAAGATTAGCCTTGAGAATCAAAAACAGCACGCCACACATGCAGTTCATTAGGTTAAAATCACCCATGCATATTCTGAGAAGAGAATATTACCATATGAACTCCCTATACAATGAACTTAAGTTATCCTCATGTCCAGGGGCAGCTCTTTCTGTGTGGATCAAATAAGGGGGTTGATGCATTTGGGGCAATGTTTTAACATGTTCACAGGGCATATCAACATTATTGCCACTGAAGCAGTAATTCAGATAACACTTCCAAGTCTGTGTATACGTTATCCTGATATATATATATTTTTTTTCATTTTTGACATTTGACACTCTTGGTTTATTTTCAGTCGGTGACTCATAAAAGCAACACTCTTCAGACATAAAATCAGAGGACATTACATTTATACCATTTCATACCGGTCACCAGCTGTAATTACCTGCAGCACTCAGCATGTGCATCACAGTGCTGATATTTGGAACAACTCTATTGCAATTTTGCTGTATTAACATAATTTGTAATATGAATTTTACTTTTAATATGAAAAAAATATATACAATTATTAAACAATGATCCAGCCAACCCAAAACCACTGTCCCAAGCCAACTCACACTCTTTTCATAATGATGTTATTCATTTAAGCAGTATAATTGATCACAGGCTTCTGAAATTAAAATGTAAACACATATAAGTGTAGTATAAATAAGACTATAATTTATGAATCTAATATTTTAAATAACTTTCTCCATTATTGTTCACTTCCCTTGTGAAAAAGATACAGTTTAGCATAATTTTAAAAATATTATGAATAATAAATATAATATAATAAAAAGATACTTTTTTTTGCAGATCACATTGCACTTTCCATCAGAATAAATGTATCTTCTGACAGCCTCTCCAAAATTTCAAACAGGTTAGATATTTCACATTGCCATTTTGTATTTGAATGAAATAATATTTTTTAAAAGAACATACTCAAATGCAAACTGAATGTAATGTTTTTGGACACTTAATTGCATGTTATTTACAATTTTAAAAAAAATGTATAAAAAAAAATCAGAACTCTAATAAATTAAAATAGACAGGTGCATCTCAATAAATTAGAATGTTGTGGAAAAGTTCATTTATTTCAGTAATTCAACTCAAATTGTGAAACTCGTGTATTAAATATTCTTTTAATTGTGATGATTTTGGCTCACATTTAACAAAAACCCACCAATTCACTATCTCAACAAATTAGAATATGGTAACATGCCAATCAGCTAATCAACTCAAAACACCTGCAAAGTTTTCTTGAGCCTTCAAAATGGTCTCTCAGTTTGGTTCACTAGGCTACACAATTATGGGGAAGACTGCTGATCTGACAGTTGTCCAGAAAACAATAATTGACAGCCTTCACAAGGAGGGTAAGCCACAAACATTCATTGCCAAAAAAGCTGGCTGTTCACAGAGTGCTGTATCCAAGCATGTTAACAAAGTTAAGTGGAAGGAAAAAGTGTGGAAGAAAAAGATGCACGTTGTCAAGCAAAATCGATTCAAGAAAGTGCCACAGGCTGATTGTCTCCATGCCACGCCGCACTGATGCAGTAATTCATGCAAAAGGAGCCCCTACCAAGTATTGAGTACATGTACAGTAAATGAACATACTTTCCAGAAGGCCAACAATTCACTAAAAATGTTTTTTTTATTGGTCTTATGAAGTATTCTAATTTGTTGAGATAGTGAATTGGTGGGTTTTTGTTAAATGTGAGCCAAAATCATCACAATTAAAAGAACCAAAGACTTAAACTACTTCAGTCTGTGTGCATTGAATTGATTTAAAACACGAGTTTCACAATTTGAGTTGAATTACTGAAATAAATGAACTTTTACACGACATTCTAATTTATTGAGATGCACCTGTATATTAAATGCAAGTTGAACTTAAGAGTGCTTTTTTGACCCACTTAAGTAGGCTAATTTCTCTAAGTACTTTCTTCATAAAATAAAGAAAAATAGTAAAACATTAAAATCTTTAAATGCAATTTCAGAATTATTTCTATTGTCTTTGAAATGTGGTTAAAGTGTATTGCTGATAAAGTGTATTGTACTGATAAGCATTTATGATAAAACAATTTAATGTCATTTATATTGAAACTAGTATTTGTATTGCATATTTAAACACAGTTGTAATGTTGCAATTTCTATTAACAATAACATACAATATAACAAAATGTTATAGGCCTATTAACAATATATAAACTTTAAATTTTATATCAAATAACACACTACAGGTAAAATTATAGGCTAATCAAGGACATACATAATGTGCTTTGTTTGTTAATCACATACTTATAATTAGTGTAGTCTGTAGGTTGCAGACGACGGGTTTTGACATTTGAATATCTTGCCAATAAGTGTTAGTCAAGAAAGCAAGCGTTCAGATTTGGGAAAACATTGGATAATTCATGTAGGGCTCCACTACGTATCTCTTATAGCGAAGCGCATAATATTTGACCCTTAACGCTTTCCGTAGTCAGCTGAAAAAGGTAAACATGGAAGTCCAACCAGACTCCAGTCGGAATGAGGTTGCTCTTCATACCTGTCTTTTTAGTGATTGATATGATTGTGTATTTCTAGCAGAGACCACAAAAGATTGAGAAAGTGTCAAAAACCAAGCAGCTGAATAGTGGTGTCGTTCAGCCTGACATAAAGTTTGTACCGCACACGGAGCTGAGGACATGTGCTGATGTTCAATGGCTTCAGAAAAGCAAGTCACATTTGTGATCGTCGGTGGAGGAATCGCAGGCGTAACTTGTGCAGAACAGGTACGAACACATCGATAACTGATCTTTAATGACTGGTCTGATAATAACTGGCTGGTATTATAACTTTAAAAACGTTTTGCAGATCGCGTCGCAGTTCACGTCCGATGAAGTTTATCTTCTGACAGCCTCACCCTTAGTAAAGACGGTTACAAATTTCAAACAGGTTTGATATTTCACATTGACATTTCGAATTTAAACAAAATTTCATATATATATATATATATACTGTATATATATACCTGTTGTATATGTAGTAAATATAATGTAATATGTAATACTACACATCCCTAAACGAGAAATCTTGATATTGAAAGTTCATTGTCAACTACCTTTCTCTATGTAGGTGTCGAAGACCTTGGAAGAATTTGATATCGAGGAACAGCCATCCAGTGTTTTAGAAGAAAAGTATCCCAATCTGAAAGTCGTACAATCTGCAGTCAAACTCCTGCGAGCCAAGGAACATGTGTGTTAAGACAAACACTTTGTTTCTTTTCCCAAAATATTCCAAATTGGTTTTTAATCACATTCTCAATTTCCCGCAGCTTTTACAAACAGAGAATGGCCAGACGTTTCATTATAGAAAGCTGTGTATCTGCAGCGGAGCCAGACCCAAGCTTCTCACCCAAGATAACCCTCATGTGCTGGGCATACGAGACACAGACAGTGCTCAGGTACACCGGAGCTCATTAATAATGAATATTATATATATGAATATAACAAACATGAACATGGTTGGATGATTTATGCTATTCACAGGAGTTTCAAAAGCGCTTATCAAAGGCTAAAAGGATAGTAGTCATTGGCAATGGAGGAATCGCATTAGAATTGGTGTAAGTATATGAATCATTAATATTAATAATACGGGATCTACGATGTAAACACAAAAGCATACCATTAGTTACTTAAATGCTTGAAATTAGCTTTGTAGACAAATATAATTGTGTATAAATTGTTTATTTTTTACCAAATAAAAATGTATTAAATTATATAAAACTGTAATATTAAAATGTAATTAATGTTTATAATTTTCTGCTACATAACTCCTCTACTCCCATTTGTGTTATTTTGTATTTTGATTATTTTTACTATTATCAATAATGTGAAAAATAATTGAAATTATGTTGTCAAACCAAAGTAAAATAAATACTCCCATTTGTGTTATTTCAAAATTCATTGTGTTATTTTGTATTTTCATATTTTGATGATTTTACTACAGTATAAGTAATAATTAAAGCATGTGTAGGTATGTCCAAACTTTTGTTTGGATGTCTAGGTCCAAATGCAAACAGAACAATGTAACAAAAAAAAAAAAAAAGAGAGAGGGAGGGAGATGTATTGAGATATTTTATAATACCTGCTGTGTGCTCCTGTAGGTATGAAGTAGAGGGTTGCGAAGTGATCTGGGCTATAAAGGATAAAGCCATAGGAAACACATTCTTTGATGCAGGAGCTGCTCAGTTTCTCATTCCCTCACTGGGGGCTGACAAAAAAGATAGGTCTTTGCCCTGCAAGAGAGCACGCTATGCTACTGACAAGACTGGAGGTATAAATTCACCTTACACACTCCCACACAATGAGCACTGCTGTCCTCTTCTGGCAGTTTTGATGAAAAGAGTGCTGCTGTAATAAAGTCAAGAAAAATGTATATTAAAAAAAGGGGCAAACCTGTATTCTCCCTAATAAAATAGAAATTAATAAAGTTTTACTTAAATTGTCATAATATACGTAGTATGAACACTACCCGTCCTTGTTTGGACACATACACTACTTACTACCTTTTAATAATAATAATTAACAGCAAACAAACAAACAAATAAATCAAAATAAGTCCATCAAAAATGAATAAAATATAATTAATTATAAATATTCACTTCTTTTCTCACATTTACAAATTTTTGTTCTATTTTCTACATTGTTGAATAGTAAAGACTTATGAACCACACTATTTTGTTTAATTACAAGCTGATAAAAAAACAACAAAAAAACACGAATTCTGTTAAGTGCATCCACATGTGTATGTTTCATAGCAGGCCACAGTGGGGCTTCAGGAGAGCTTGGCAGTGCCTTGGGCCCAGACTGGCATGAGGGGATTGAACTAAGAGGAGCAGTGCAGGTTTGTATCCACTATATTTTTGCAATTGTACATTAGTCAACACAACATGGTGGATGATTGTCACTTTTCACCATATTCTGATTCTTTTCCTTCATTTCTCAGAATTCCAGCGGAGTCCATGTAGAATATGAGTGTGCGGTTGACAAGCTCTACACCCAACAGGAATTCCTACAGTCCAAACTCAACACAAATACATCAGAATTAGGTTATTCTAATAATAAAAATAATAATTATAATAATTAAGCTGCAGTGTTTTACAGCTAAAATAACTACATTTGTTTTTCCTTACCATAGGGCTGTGGCCAGCTTATGTTCAGTTAACCAACAAAAAGATTTATGGCTGTGATTTCGTCGTCAGTGCAACAGGCGTCGTGCCAAACACTGATCCTTTTCTCAATGGCAACAATGTAAAAATGATTGTCCTTTTGAACTTACCCATTTATTTCACTTTTAATGTTATATATTAATAGTGATGTTAGTAGTCTTTTTTTTTATTGTATTGTATACGTAAATATTACATAGTATTGATCAATATTGGATATATATATATAATTTGAATTTGGTTGATTTTAGTTTTTAGTTTTATTTTTATTTATACAAATTACTATACAATTTTATTTATTGTAATATTGGCTTTGTCAGTGCATCCATAAAATAACATTTCAAATATGTATATTTTCTGTTTTTTTTTAGGGTAAATTTAGGAAAATCAGGCTACTTTTATCAATGAAATGAACAGCAAGATGTGGCCCAATTCACCCTAATTCAAGCCTTGTGCATTTTATGTGCCCCATTCCAGTTTAAGCTGGCAGAAGATCATGGTTTGAGAGTGGATGATCATATGCGGACGTCTGAACAGGATGTATATGCGGCTGGAGATGTGTGTACTGCAGGCTGGGAGCCCAGCGCTCTCTGGCAACAGGTACAGTTGCACCTATGTTACTGTATTTGTGCATTGCATCTTTTTTTTTATGTACTAAGGGTTGACTTTCTAAAACTTCTCTCCTGTTATGTATAAGATGCGATTGTGGACTCAGGCACGTCAGATGGGCTGGTACGCAGCGCGTTGTATGGCTGCAGATGTGCAAGAGGAGGCCATAGAGCTGGACTTCTGCTTTGAGCTGTTCTCACACATCACCAAATTCTTCAACTACAAGGTGAGTCCTTCTGTTTATGTCCATTTCTTTAAAAAAAAATTGTGCTCTTCTTGTTGGTACCTCCCTTTATGAAGAAATTGCACATACTGTTGTATTCTCAGACTTAATGCCTGAGAATTCAGAATTTAAAAAAAAGTCTCACTTTTACTTCGAGTCAAAATTGGAATGACTGAATTTGCTTAATTGCAATTCAAAGTAATTTTCACAAGCAAAACTTTATGCAAATTAATATGAGATGCAAACTCTTCAGGAGTGGAAAAGGTGACAAAGATGTGAGTTAAATAAAAAGGACAGACTACTTCAGGTGTCTCTGGTCACATCAATACAATTGTTTTTATTGAACCCATTAAGGGGCGTGTTTCCCAAAAGCAACTATGGTCACAAGTTCCGTTATTACCAATTGAGTTCAATTGAACTAACAACCATAGTTAGCTTTTGAGAATTGCACCTCAGTATGATTATATTATATTATATTGGTGACATGAACACTGTCATATGAAAAAAGACAAACTACATTAATAAAATAAAACAATAATTAATAAATTATAATTAAATTAAAATCAAGGTATATAAATTAAAGTAAAATATTTTTGTAAACACTCCATATGTTGTGCGATAACATGTTTATGGGTGATTTGCGGTTGTTGTTTTTTTTGGTAAGATTATTTATTTATTTTAAATAATGTAGCATTATTAATTTTAATATTTTAATTACAATTCTGCAGCCTATTTGCTACATTATTTAAAGTTCAAGTCCAGCAATTGAATTAAGATTGGTAGACACAAAAGTAATTTTCAGATTTTATCAGTTTTGCAATAATTTAATGTCTGTTTTGTCATATTTTTTAGGTGGTTTTGCTAGGCAAGTTTAATGCTCAGGGTTTGGGTCAGGACCATGAGCTTCTTGTGCGCTGTACAAAAGGGCAGGAGTATGTGAAGGTGGTTCTGACTGGGGGCCGAATGGTGGGAGCTGTCCTTATCGGAGAGACGGACCTAGAGGAAACTTTTGAGAATCTCATTCTCAACCAAATGGACTTATCCCGATATGGCGAGGAGCTTCTTAATCCTAATATTGACATTGAAGACTACTTTGACTGAATCGTTCTGGTTAGCCAATGACACAGATGATAGTTATTTTAAAGCTGCACAGTGTAATTTCTGTTCCACCAATAAAAAGTTCAAAAATTATAATTGTTTTCAAACTCTCCACAATCTTACACCTATCTTGCTCAACAGGAAGGAAGTCCTACCTCAGTCTGTTGCCTTTGGCAATATTCTCGTGCTCGGAGCACAAACAAACAGACTTCAATTCTGTTTGTCACAACTAGGGGCGCAGAAATTGCACGCAGTATTTTAAAAGAGTAGTTCACCCAAAAGTGGAATACAAAATTCACTCTCCCTTATGTTGCTCCAAGCTCGTATGATTTTCATCTTTGGCAAACAAAAGCCACATTGTCCATTAACTATATTTCAAGTCATTTGCATTTCCTTTCCTCATCAAGTCTTGTAAAACCATAGCTGTCTGTGACAATAGTGACTAGTAAATAGGAAAATAGTGACTAGTACTTTGTTTAAAATTTCTCATTTTGTGTTCCAAGTCATATGGGTTTGGAACGATGGTGAAGGTGCATAAATGATTAGTCTGAATTTTCCTTTTTGGGTGAACTATTCCTTTAGGGAACTATGAGCTATTATAAGTAACCAATGGATAATGCACATTGAGAAACAGAGTAAGAAAAACATGGACTATTGAGTTGCCAAAAAATATATATTTATTGATTCGTTATTTAGAAGTGCTCTGCTCTCACATCATGAGGCAAGTAATAATTTAAGTCCATGTATAGCTATACTGAAGTAATGTTTATTTACAACATGGCATTCAGTTTTTTGGGATATGTGTCTGTTGAGCTCCAACTCCCATAATGATCCTTTTGGTAATTAATTCTGTGATCTGAGTGAAAGGGAAATCACTATTTCAAGTGAGCTTCCAATGTGTTTACTGTATCTGGGTGAAAATAAATGTTAAATTCAAACACTTTAACATTAAATGACTTTGTCTTCTAAAATGCATTAAATCCCAACCTTTTGCAAAAATACTTTCCCAATTCTGCATTAACCTGTATTATATAAACATTCTGGCATTTTACACACATAGCCTGCGGAGAATCTGTTCTGCAGGAACTCCAGAACTGTACCAACTGGGCAGTTGACTGGGTCAAGCTGGCGGTCTCCGCACCAAGAAGTGAAAAGCTTCCACTTCTAGGCATACAGTTTCCTCGTTGAGTGAGCTCTGGATTGGAGGATGGTCTCCACAACCTCGGATGAGATACAGGAAGCTGCGAGTTGTGCACCGTCAGGGGCCACACCCAAAACTTCCACAGCTCCGGGAGGGGGTGGAAATCGTGCCCTCCGCCTGTGAGAGGAGGTCCCTCCTGACGGGAATCTCCCATGGAGAGCCGTCGAGAAGGGAAATCAGGTCTGAGAACCATACTTGGCCCGGCCAGAACGGGGCTACTAGCAGCAGACAGACCCCATCCTGGCGCACTCTCTCCAGAACTCCCGGGAGCAGAGCAATTGGGGGAAAAGCGTACAGATGAGGTGGAGGCGGAGGAGAACCAACTGGATTCTGTAGCCTCTCTCTACAGTGTGCAGGACCCACTGTGACACATTTGGCAGTAGTTTCCACGCTGCCAAATAATCTACTAAGGGAATCAGTCAGCACCGCTACGTTTCCGGGCGGTGACAGAGAAGCACTCGCCGGAGACCGCTGTTCCCTGGAACACCGGCAGGGTTGGCAGACTGACCTCCTGAGGGCACTGAGGAGAGACGGGCACCGTGTGATGCAGTGTACACCGCTCTTCCCCAGAGGGGCCTGCCCTCCGAGGTCCGGAGCCATAGCATCAGGACTCTCATAGCTGAAGTCTCCTATTGAAAACGACGGTCCTCAGACTCGCGTCATCTGCTAGGAAGACTAGACTGATAGAACCAGAGCCCACACAATGGCCATGCTGAATGTTTTTCAAGCTAAGCTCCTGAAGTCCCTGAACAGTGGCGACATGGATGCGGACACCGTGAAAGACCTGCATGCATCAGTGCGTTTAGCCTCGCAGGGACAGAGTGCCAGTTTACAAACATTGCTTCCAGCGATAGCAACCGGAGAGATTCGACTGCTATGTCCATTCCTAGACACAAGGAGAGCTATTCCAGGCATTTCGCACTGGTTGCTGAGCATAATAGAACACGGGTATTCCCTACAGTTCAGACACAGACCTCCCCATTTCAATGATGTGGTTCCGTCACTGTCACTGCCTCAAAATGCCCCTGTTTTGAGACAGGAGGTTCACATTATGCTTGCAAAAGGAGTGATAGAGCGAGTCCCTCCGAGTGAGCTGGAGAGCGGGTTTTACAGCAGCTATTTTGTGGTACCCAAGAGAGATGGGGGACCTGAGACCCATCAACGGAGCACTTCACAGCTCGTGTTCAGGATGACAACTCTGAAGTAGATCCTGGCACAAATCCATCCAGGGGACTGGTTTGCATCCATAGATCTGAAATATGCATAGGGAAGAGAGACCGTTGGTGATCCTCATTGCCCCACACTGGCTGAATCAACCTTGGTTTCCGGACCTCAGGGAGATGCTGGTGGCTCCCCTCTGGCGAATCCCCCTAAGGAGGGACCTGCTGTCTCAAGCAATATGGCACCCTAGACCAGAGCTGTGGAGCCTTCATTTGTGGCTACTTCAGGGGTCCTAGAGGGTGTAGCGCCTGGACCAATCCAACACACTATATATTCTTTTTTTTAATATAACAGCGGATCTAAACTATGAATAGTTAATTATAACTAGTTATGGTTAATTATTCATATTTCCCCATGAGCTGATTCGCAACAAGGGGTTAAGCACCCTGCCTGCCTGTGTGTTTGACATGCTCAGAGTCTCGTTGCACCTTCTACTAGGCGTCTTTATGCTCTTAAATGGGGAGTGTTTGTGAAATGGTGCTGTGATAGAGATATCGACCCGACGAGCTGTCCCATGTCAGATGTTTACGTTTTCTGCAGCACAGGCTAGATAATGGGAGTCTACCGTCAACACTAAAGGTTTATGTGGCTGTTATTGCTTAGTTTCGTTCCCCGGTTGATGGGCAGTCGATCGGGAGGCACATACTGGTGGATAGATTTCTCAGGGGAGCGAGGAGATTACATCCCCCATGACCACCGCTGGTGCCGCCGTGGGACCCAGCGCTGTTCTAGTCCTTAGCATCCATTGCTATGAGGGAGTTCTCCCTCAAAACTGCTCTGCTTCTTGCCCTTGCTTCTGTTAAGCGCATAGGAGATCTGTATGCGCTCTCAGTGGACAGCGATTTTATTCGCTTTGGGCCTGGGGACTGCAGTGTTACTCTCCGGCCGAGATCGGGCTACATGCCTAAATCTCTTTCTACCCCCTTTAAAGTGCAGGTAATTTATTTGCCTGCTTTGTCTTCTAAGATGTCTACCTTGCGTGACGCTGAGGCTCGGAACACCATTTACCCCTGTCTGGGCTTGAAGGATTTATATCAAATCAAAGCGTAAACAACGTAGAAAATGTATCCGTGTGGCACAGCTGACACAGAATAGCATACGCTGTTTGCGTTCAGTGGATACTCTCCAAAATGGCACCAGGGTGACGTGGAGGAGACGAATTGTTGAATAAAGTCGTTATTTTTGTTTTCTTTGCATACAAAGTATTCTCATAGATTCGTAAAATTACGGTTGAACCCCTGATGTCACCTGGATTATTTTACCGATCTCTTTGCTACGTTTCTGGACCTTGATCATGGTAATTACATTGCTGTCTATGGCAGGGTCAGAGAGCTCTCAAAATTCATCAAAAATATCTTAATTAGTGTTCCGTAGTTGAACGGAGGTCTTACGGGTTTAGAACGACATGAGGGTGAGTAATTAATGACATAATTTTCATTTTTGGGTGAACTAACCCTTTAGTGTTATGAGTAGTTAAACAGGACACTGTTACTTGAACCAGGGAGCAGGTATAATTTGTATTTTAATTTTTTTAAGCTACTGACTAATGCCTATCAAAAGCCAGAAAAGAAAATGTTGAACTGAACCAACTGACTAATATGTTCAACTTTTTTTAATTTATAAGGAACAATGAACAGTTCCAATTTATTACAGAAATAAAATAAATAAATACATGAAATTGTTTTGTAGTCACATGCATAAAACTTAAACTGGAACACAAGAAATGTACACCGTATAGCCTGTCTGTGTGTGTTGGATGTTATTTCTTGTTTTAGTTAAGTATACAACCTTTATCTAGATAAAGACAACATTTTTAAACTTAGAAAATAAGCCTAATTGTGATTACCATTTAAATGAACCAAATAAAAAGTGGCAAAATCTTGTATAAAAACGATTTATTTTTCAAAGACATTTCCAAAATGAATCACATTATTTGAAGACACCACCACTAATAACAACAACTTACACACAGGGTCCAGTGACTTGACTTGCATATAAGTAAAATGATGCATCAGCCTGTTGGAGTAAAACGAGGCAAAACATAAATATAAGTCTCAATATTAAGTGATGATAACATCAAAACAGTGCATTAAAATTAAACTACTAATTTTAAAATCCACTTACAGGCAGGGACAGAAATGTACCACAATTTAGAGGTGGTTGCCAAGTGGTCACTACATATGCATTGCCAACATGAACATCCTTGCCCTGGTTAAAAAAAATAAAAATAATAAGCACAAGCATATCATTATTAGTATTTGTCAATAGTGTTTATAGCATCCACAGCAGAAGTAGAAAATAGTGTTTGAGGTTTGAGCGCCACCTATTGTCTGCTCTGCATTCTCACAGTTTGACTTTCTCAATAACTGAAACTGGAAACTCTTCAATTCATGGGAAGAGGTACGTTTTTTTTTTTAGCTGTTGTACGTCTCTGTCAAATGGCAGAAGCTAGCATTTCAGTGGCTCAGGACCAGTTCAGTTGTCCAGGGGCCAGTTGCATAAACTAAAGCCTATATGTTAAGACTGTGTCTTAAGTACGAGTTCGACCAACTAGCAAAGGGGTAATAAGTCTTATTTTTAGATTCCACTTTCACTAATCTACGATTTAATGTAACTGAATTATAAAAAAAAAAAAAATCATGGCCAGTCTTGAATGAATGCAGTTGAATGAAAACTTGTAAGACTAGTCTAATCCTTTTATGCAACCAGCCCCAGTTTATCATGATCTACTGAAGGATCCAGTGACAATTCCCTGTGAAAACACTTACTTTTTGAACTGTATTACAGGCTGCTGGAATTAAGATGTTCAGAAGGGAGTTTAAAGCTGCGCCCAGTGCACTGAGTGCAGGCAGACCTTTACTCTAAGACCTGACTTATCCAAAAATGTGGTGTCTTATGCAAAAAGACAGAAGAAAAAACGCTATTCTGCTGTTTCTGCTCACTGTTACGCTGGACCTGGAGATGTGGAGTGAGACATTTGCACTGGAAAAGAAATACAAAGCAGACAAGTCCTGCTTGATGTGTCTCAACTTCTACTGTCAAAATCACCTTGAACAACATAACAACATAAGAATAAAGGTAAGAAGCACAACTTGATGGATGCCACTGGACGGTTGCTACAGGAGATGATCTTCATAAACATGATAAACTGTTAGACATCTACTGTCATGACCAGAAGTGCATGGGTTATTTGTGTGGAATGGTATAAAAATTAAAACAAACATATTTTGTAATGCAAACATTTATTTCAGCTGCTTTACTCCATTTGTGCCTAAATAATATTTTAAATAATTGCTAAGCAGCACATCAATCATTTTCTAAGGGATATTTTAATGGAACTGCAGTTAAAATATATATATATATATATATATTTTTTTTTTCTTTTTCTTTCAAAAGATATATAAACTTTTTTTATTATTATTTAAGGTAAAAAGAACTGTCAAATTAATCAAAAAGTAATCAGATTATATTACCTACAGTGTATAATAGATTACGTTACTAATTGTTGTCATGACTGTCATGATTGACA